TGGAGAATTTTAAAGTAGAGCATAAATCCTTTTTATTCAGTTTTTTATCTTGTCAAGAATATTTTTAAATCCTAAAAAGCCTCTATGGATTACTGTATTCTATCACTACCATAATCTCCAAAGAGAAAGACTCGTAAACGTTTAGGTTGACATACAGGTTTCTTAGGCATCTTATCTTGGCTTCCATGTAACCTACGGACAAACATCAGAACTTGAAAAATTCTTGAAGTGTTTAAATTAAATTCAGGAACTAAGGAAAGTGATAGATTCACACCTTGTGCAGTAACCATAATAATTATTCCACTGTGTTTCTGTTAAGTAACAGGAGCTGCAAAGTAGGCTACTTGCATTATAAGTGGAACCAGCAGAGGGCACTGTAATGTCACCATTGGCGGGTGAATTACTTGACAGAAACTACACTGCAATGCCAAATAGCTTTTGAGTTATTTAGCAAATATTTATCAGTTGCATCAGTGGTTACACACAAAAACAAAGTTATTATGCTTCTTATGCTTCTATATTCCTCTACTGTGCACTTCCTATAGGCCACTGAATGATTTGTGTTATGAGAGCTTCCTTTGTCTGTCAATGGTTAATGTTTGTAAATGGGTTGAGACAGAACAGATAGGAAGATGGGCTTTCTGTTTTGCTGGGAAACACTCTGAAAGAAGAGATTGCTTGAGATCTGGGCGTGACAGCGCAGGTTTGTAATTTCAGCATTTAACAGTTTCCTGTAAGATGTAAGGAGGCAGACAGATAGAGTGTGTGAGTTCTGTACAGTTTGGGTTCTGTGTTGAAATCGTGTCTCCAAAAATCACATGACCATTGAGTTAGGAAGAGGTGAACTGACTGTTCCCTATGAGTAGAGTTATTTAAGGCACACACCTGTGCATTAGTTACTAAAGCATGCTTTAATCTACTCCTTTTCTCTACTTTGTGGCCTTTCCCATACATAACTATTTTGTTTATCTTGTTTTTATTTTTACAGTTAAAAAGTATTGTCTTTTCAAATTTAAAAAAATTTTAATTGCATATGTATATCTAAGGTTTTTAATGTAGCATTAATTATGTGTGTGCATGCATGCGTGCATGTGTGTTAACATTTGTGTGGTCAGTGTGCTTTTGGAGGTCAAAGGACAACTTGTGGGAGTCAGTTCTCTTGTTTTACTATGTGAGTCTTGAACTTGGGTCATCAGGTTTGGTGGCAAGTACCTTTACCACTGAGTCATCTCTCTGGTCCCTGTATTCCTAAG